AGTTAGCGTAATGGCTATGTCGCTGGACTCCCACGTAGTCAACTGCGGTTCGCGTCCCGGACCCGGTGGCTTAGAATTCACGCCGGGCGCGTGTGTGTGTGCCCAAGATCCCAAGAGGAGAATGGAGGAGAAGGGAATGCGGCGTGACCATCCCCCCTGGGGGTTGATTTCTCGCTTTCTGTCTCTATGTCTCTCTCTGTTTGTCAGAAAAAAACAAAGAGAAAAAAAAAAAGGGGAGAGAGGCCGCCGGGCAGGCCCCAGTCCCCAGGCACCCGTTAAGCAGTTTCCGTGTATCATCCCTCTGACCCTCACACAACCTTACGAAGCCAGGGCTGAATTTTCTGTGGTTGTTTAACAAATTATTTATTTAACTCCCTTTCTTTCTCCATTTGACAAGATAGAGAGAAAGCGAGAAAGCAAGCCTCAGGACTCAAACCTCAGTCGCCCATGTGGGAACCAAGCACCCTAATCATCGTGCCACCTGTTGGCCCCTGCCAGGGCTTTTATAAGCCACGGAGCTGGCGCCAAAACCAAGCCTGGGTTCTGACAACTCTGCTGACCTCCAGGTCCCGGAGGGCCTCGAGGCTGGGAAATCAGGAAACATCCTTGGGGCCAGTGTCAGCCCCAGCTCCCATCAGCCTCACCATGCCTGCCCTCCCTGGGCCCTGAGTGTGGCGTCGGGGCACCTGCCTACCCAGGTGTGGTCAGGTGACTGCACCTGTGTCTGGGGAGGAGCTCACACTACCGCTCGGCACTGGTGGCTTTGGCCAGAGCCACAACTGGGCCCCTGTGGCCTGTCCCTTCAGCCACCAAATGTCTGCTGGCACCAGGCACCAGGTCGGGCCTTGAGGGGCACGGATTTGAGGCTCAGACACAGATCCCAGCTTTGAAGACAGACTTGACCGTCCAGTCCTCTGAATTCAAGGAAATCTTGGGGAGGATATTTGAAAGATCCAAAGGAGAAAACGCTCACTTCTGGCTGAAGAGTGACAGGAGTCGTTTATTTTCTTCTTCTTCAATTTTTTTTTTTTAATGGTGATAAAGTATTCATAACAGAGCCGGTCCTGGTGATTATGGGAGCCGGATCCCACATGGGTAACTGCATGGTTCAAATTCTGGCCCTGGAGGCTGGAAAAACACAGCAGGCACATGTGCATACATGCCCCAGATCCCCAAAGGATGAAGAAATGGAGGAGGCAGGATTGTGGAATAAACACGCCCAGTGGGGAGGTGCTTCTCCCGACAAGACTTCCCATCGCGACCGTTTTCAAGCATGGAGCTCAGTGGGACTAAGTACATCCATTGCGTACGACCCTCCTAGCCTTCCAGCTCCAGAACTCGCCTTTTGCAGAACGGAAACTCCTTGAACCAATAAACACGACACTCCCAGTTCTCAGTCCCCCAGCCCCTGGGAACCACCGCTCTCTGTCTCTGCAGCGTGACTACTCTACCAACCTCACCCAAGTGAATCACACAGGCCTGGGCCTTTTGCAACTGGCTTATTTCACTTAACAGAACGCCCTTGAGGCTCACCGCTGTCGCTCGCTTGGGGACTGCCTTACTTTTCAGGCCGAGAGATACCCCATGTGCACACAGCGCATGCGCCTGTCCCTCTGTCAATGGAGCTTTTTGGCGTTGTGACCCATGGCGCCATGAGTGTGGCTGTCTCAGCCCCCATCCATGTCTAGCCTGGATTCTTTGGGGTGCAGACGCCAAAGTGGAACAGCCGGCTCATGCGCAGCTCCGCGTCTCATGCTCTGAGGAACCGCTGGCCCGTTTTCAGGGGCTGCCTGTCTGATAGCTCCCGGGGCGGTTTTGCAGGTCTGAGCATGGGAGTGGCTGACCGCTCTGTCCCCAGGAGACTCAAGAGGGCAACTGAGAGTACAGCTGAGTGGACCCTGACAGGATATTCTGGGGTGACAGGAGGGGGCCCAGGAAGAGGTTCTTAGTGGTTGGGGCGACAGAGAAGGAAGACCTAAAACTCAGAGCACGAGAGGAAGAAGAAAGAGCAGGACCACATGAGCTCTCGGCTGGGCACAGAGCTTTAAAGACAGGACCCCGAAACAGATACAAAAATGAGTATTTAAAGAAAAAGGAAAAGATAGGCTCCCAAGGGGCCTCGATCTGGCAAGCAAAGTGAGACATCACACAAGTGCTAGTGCAGGCCTGGATCCTGGCTTTAACTGGAATTTTTGCATTTGATTAATGGGGGGATTTCTTTCTTCTTCTTCTTCTTCTTTTTTTTTTTTTTTTTTGGCATTCATTTCAATTTCTTGGAAAATTGTATGAAACTATTACTTATCTCGGTCACTGGATTTTTCGGTGCCCCCGTAACCTTCGCACTTGAGACAAGAGCTTCACCCTCGCCCTGCCCTGTAGGACAGATGTGTCACCGTCCAGCCTGCTGTGGCAGGCCATGTGCAGGTAGCTATGCTAGATCTGGGGCGCCCGCCACCAGGCGGATACTCATACATCTCCATTGTCAAGTTTACGGCCAATAGATGATAAGTCAGAGGACAATGTGGGCAGGGGAACCATCCTGTGGTATCCCGGAAGAGATGGAAAAAAGGGGTACAGAATGAAATAGACATTCCACTTTTTTGTTTGTTTTTTGCTTTTGTTATAGGGTGTGTGTGCTCATCATAGACAGAGAGAGGGGAAACCACTCCCCAGGGGGAATGGCCATGCCAAATTTTGTCCCCTCCTTTTGGGAATTTGGGCATGTATGCGCAAGTGCCTGGCATGAGTCTTAAGCCATTGGGTCCAGGACTCGAACCACAAAGCTGGCCATGTGGGATGTTGCACCTTAACCTCCATGCCACCTGCTGGCCCAGCATTTCACTTTTTAAAACATTTGTCCATTTCTTCCATGAGTGAGGAAGACAGAGACAGAGATGCAGCGCTTCTGATAGGTTCGATGCCACGATCCACCCCCATCCTTGTCAGCCTAGATCACCGGAACCTGTACGCCCGGTGTGTCCTGGGAGGCCTTCGGATACGCAGCGAGAACCTTCCCCTGTGAGCCCGTCTTCAGAACGCCATCCTGTCTTACCACTGTGC